TTACCAAGTCATTTCTTCTATTTCTGGTTGTTTCTCATTCTTCACAAGATCTTGGCAGAAAAAACTCAAAAATACTTTCTTTGATCATAATGTTTCCTTACCTTTCTTCTTGTTTAGTCCCAACAGTTGCACATTCAGTAGCTATTCCTTCTTCTTCATCTTGGCAAGATGTGTTGATGACCATCACTGCATGAATCTTATATATTAAAAGGATAAGATTTTTACATTAAAGCAGACACACCGGCTAAACAAAACTGTACCAGAAATTGCTACGGACATGTGTTAAACTTCTGTAAATGTAATAATCTTAACAACTTTAAAGTTTGTATAGAAGCTGATCCTGATATGGAAGCACATTTCCACACAGGAGTTTGCAAAATCATATTTCTGATCTATATATATTTCATATTATTTTTTCTATAAAATAAAGCAGATTAAATAAAACATAAGTGATCTTGCCTTTCCTAGAGAGATCCAGAAATACCATGTAAAACTGAGAGAAGTTCTTTCAATTATTTTGTAACTTAGATACCTAAATCAGTCACAATACTATTTGAAATAGAAAATTGACTAGTTTCCTAAAAATGGAATTTTTCAATGTGACAAAAATAAGATAATTCCAGCTCTGTGGGCTAGCATCAAGAATATTTCTTTCAAAATAAACAGTTATGACTTTTTGAAGTTGTTTGCATCCTTGAACAATTTTTCATGCATTTGCTTCAGAAGGGCAAGGAGAAAAGATGACCACTTTGTACTGCTCAATTGAAATCAATAACCATTGAGTGATGTGCTGTTAACATTTCATCACTTAAAGTATTGTCTGGAAATACCATTCACTATTCTGCAGGTCCAAGATCAATGTCTCAAACACCACAGTTTGGTAATTTAAACTTGTGCAGTGTTTTAAATTGGAAAAAAAAATAAATTATGATGACATTTAAAACCTCTAGCTTTGCATAAGGTAGTGCTCATTTCCCAGGATGCTACAGTCAGGTGCTCTGCATGAGAAATTTCTGTTATTAATAAAGCATCTTTTAATCTTTGCAGCTTTAATCAGACTATGTACTTACATATTCACTGACAAAGTGGTACTGCTTTTGACACTGTGTAATGTCATGACTACTGTTTCTACATATTGGTTTGAGCCAGGCTTTGGTTCCATGCCATGCAGAAGAATTACAAGGAACATTGGTCTAAACTCCTAAGCTTTTAAAATAGTTAAAGTATTAAAGATGACTTTTTACAATATCAGCATGATAAAGCCATTATGGTAGTTGGCAAATCAAAAATATGTTAAATAAATATTTGCTAGGCTAGCTATGCTTTTTAATAAATACAATTAATAATTAAGTGAATAATTAAGTTCATTAAGTGAACATCCACAGGATAATGAATCAATAGGATTGACATTTAGAAAACCTTTGGAGTCACCACCATACTTTTAACTAGTGGGTATTTGTAGAATCTTGTAACCCCTAATTACAATTTGTCTTGATCTATTTTGTGATGTAGTGTCAGAAAAATTACATAAAATCTACGGATTCCTCCATACAGTACCATGAATTTGAAAGTGGCATTCATCTAACTATGCTTCAGGTTTTGTAAGATACGAAAACAAAATTTAATTTAGTAATTAACATTTCTCCTGTATGTCAAACTGCTGACACCATCCACACAAGTGAATCTTCAGTCTTCTTTCAGGCTCCAGCCAGAGGGCAGCAGTGCACTGTGCAACTTTCCTCTGGGATCTCAAACTCTCATACTGTGCTGCAAAACATCACATAAAAATATACCTATTTATTTTGTATATGTATGTATGGTATTTCAAAGAATCATACCACAGTAGCTGAAAGCTAGTGCATCTCTTTACCACTTGGTTAGTTAAACTTAGTTTACTGTTGAATTTTCCATTAAAGGATGCATTTTCAGACTTCTCAAAACATTATCAATTCCTAATAAAATCATGTAAATTTTTAGTTAATCTAAAGAGATACATCCATATTTGTGTGTATGTACATATGCATATAATCTTCATATATATTAACAGTGCTGCAATCAAAGTATGTCATTTAACAACAGCACTTTGTAATTGAATGTAGGCCACCACTGAAAAGTCTTTCATAGTATTGCCTTATTAAAATGCTGAGGAGAGTCTACTTGCTCATATGGATTGCCATTTTACCTATACTAATTTATTTCCTTTCCAACTAATTATTTCTTGCCTGCTGTGGGAGAATCATAAATACATAATAAATGCATCCTAGACACACTTGTTCCAACTACCTTTCTGTTCCTGAGCAGAACTGAGTAACGGTTTGCAGAACCCAAATGCAGAATTTAGGTTATTGAGATTTAGCCATACAGCCTAGATATCAGTTGGGGATAGGCACTTCTGTATATAATTCTGACTACATACGTAGTCAGTCAGTATTCATTCTGCATGTCAACTTCCACACCTCACATTTATCACATATTTAATCTCAACATAAAGTTGCAAGATTCAGGCTTTAACAATCCCCTTCCCTCAACTCTTTGCAGCATATTCTTTAGTTTGATTTCCTTTCCTAGTAAAAATTTCAAACAAGTTTAAAATTATCCAAATGTTTTAATAAAAATTGAATCTGCATTGTTGCTGCAAAACATTCATTTAACTGGTCTGAAATTATGCTGTTTGGGAAATAGAAAAATATGGTCCCAGGATATGGCAGTAAAGGAAGTGAAGAGAAGAGGAACTACCTACAGGTAGTTTCACTAAGCTATGTTAAGAATAACATAGATTCACTAATCTGTGTTATATTTCAGCAGTAGGAGAAAGAAGTGAAGATGATTGAGTAGGTGAGAGTGCTCAATTTACGTAAGCTCTTATTCACCACCTGAGAAAAGCTCAGCAAGGCATCGGTCAGGATGTCAGCTGCTGGATGAGGAATAATTAGTTGAAGGTGAATAAAACCATGGCTGAAAGGGAAGACACTTGGATGAGTTTGCAACTGCAGAGCAATTTTCTTTTGATTGAAGGCATGCAACAACCGTTGTTCAATTTAATCTGTAATTTAAGAGTGCTTTTTGATTTCTTTGCTGACATTAAGCTCTCATCATGACAACATCCATGGACAGCGTTTTCTGCCATCACATGCTGCACTGGTAATGATATTTCATCCTCGTAAATGTTATGTCCTTACTTTTTCTTTTTTGTTTGACTTATAAAACTTAAGTATACCTGAGATGCAACCTGCTACCACATGCAGGATCACAGGTAATACACAACATTGTTATGTGTCTCTTCCATATACACTCACATAGTCTTTATGTAGAATATCAAGTTAAATTCACAGCTTTTGGGTGCAGGCTCACTCTGTCAATTTTTAGGTATTCAGCTGTGCCCCAGAGTGTAGAAGTTAGTTCTCACTAGAACTAACTGGCCTTAGTGACAAGGGATAAACATCTCCAAAGATCAACTGAGATATATGTATTTATACAATATATTTATACAATATTTGAAAATTTATGTTGCAGTAGTGCTAGAGGTGGTACTAACCACAAGCTCAGTGAAACCTACTTTCTTATACGTCATTTAACCACATACTAGATCTAGTAGGGATGGGGTTCATTTTCTTTATAGTAACCTATAGGGTTGCAGTCTACAGTGCTTGCAGAGAATCAAAGCCTTATTTGCTTCTGACTCCACACTGAGTAATCTGGGGGTGGCCAAGAAGGTGGGATTTGGCCAGGACTGCTGACACAAACTGACCAAAGACATATTCCATATCTTAAGACTTAATACTCAGCAATCAAAACTGTGAGGCAGTTTATTATTTTTTTTTTTCCTCCACAGTAGACTTTGCTTGGAAAACTAGCTGACCATTGATCTGCCTATGGAAGGCGATTGGCAAGTCTCCACTCATGTTTGCCCTTCCAATTCTCTCCTCCATCCTAATGGAGGGGGGCAGGATGTACAAGGAATTAGGCATTTGTTGCTGACCAAAATCAGTTGACCACAAATAATCATTTGAATACTTCCTGGCCCAGTCTACCCTAGGTGAAAGGCAGTGCTAAAAATCTTGGAGATTTTTAAGGCAGAAAGAAAGGCATTGAGCAGTTGGAATGCATTCAGAGGAGGGCCACAAAAATGATCCAAGAGATGGAACACCTCTCCTACAAGGACAGGCTGAGAGAGTTGGGGCTGTTATCTTGAAGAAGAGAAGGCTCTGAGGTGACGTGATAGAAGTCTTTCAGTATCTGAGGGGGGCAGAAAGTGGGAATGGAACATACGCTTTAGCAGAGTCTGTTGCTAAAGGGCAAGGAGAAATGGGTTAAAACTAAAAGAGGAGAGATTTAGATTGGACAAAAGAAGTTTCCTGTACAATAAGGGTGGTGAGGCACTGGAACAGGTTGCCCAGAGTTTTGGTGGATATCCTGCCATTGGAGACATTCAAGATCAGATTACACAGTGCTCTGGGCATCCTGATTTTACTGTGGTGTCCCCCCTTATTGGAGTTGGACTAAGTGACTTTTAAGCATCCCTTCCAATGCAAACAATTCTATGACTCCATGAATAATGAAGTATGTTAGCAATACTAGATTTTTTTTTTAAAAAGTGGAAAACTCTGAGGCTTCTGAAACCTGGGAGATTTTAGGCAAACTTAATATACTACCTATGCCTGTGTTATATTTCTTGAAGAAAACAGTTTTTCTGTGTGGCACCTTATTCATTCAATTAGAGGCTAATATTTTAATTTAAATGATGTCTTCTATAGACTTATTAAAATATTTCTATACAAATATTTCATTGGTTGCATGTAATTCTTCACCATACAGCAACAGCAAGTTACAGCAAGTCCAGTTTATTCACCAACATTGCTGAATGAGCACATCATTAGGGGCTTACAACAGAGCTGCTTAGTGAAATCTTCAGTACTCCCTGGTAAATCACTGTTTCACAATGAAGTTACACAGTCAGCTGCATGATACTGGAAGCAAGTGCAAGGAGTCTCACAATGAAGCTACACCATTAGTTTCTATATATTGCACAGTAAATCAATGCAAATTTACAACAGAATTACACACTAAGAGTTCTGTATTATACACTAAATCATTGAGATTCACAATAAGGTTTACCTTTAAGCTTTCATGTGCTGTATCATAAATCACTAAGTGACAGTAAGGTCCAGCAAGCACCTTGCTTGATTTGGATTATTATTACTGTAGTGATATGTCTTTGACTGATGAATCTAGGTAAAATGGCAAATCCCATTCACTTTAAGGATGTATGTGGAATGTAGACATCTCGGCAGGTCCAGGCAAAGTTGTACTTCTTTTGGGATGCTCACAGTGCTGCTTAGAAACATGGTAGTTTTTCAACACACTAGGATATATTGACTAGAAACTCTGAATTTCAAGGAACAATGAAATGGTCTCTTTAACTTAGAATATTCTGCACATTGCCCCATCATGTTGACCACACCTCATACTGAGAATGAGCTCATCCTGGGGCTCTGTAGATTGCCTTGTTCATTGTAAATGTTCATTAAGTATAAATACAAGGTAGCTTTCAGCAGTCGGCTAGAGATATTTTGTCATAGAGTGAACTAATTGTTACACAGGAGCTAAATAGTATTTGCAAGAAAATCTATGGAAACTTCAATTGAAAACTCACTTTGATTTTGTTTAGACAAATGGTTTTAAATCATAGTCACTCATATTTCTTCATATAGTATATTCCATTGAAAGTTTGAGGCAATACTGTTGAGAATATATATTTCCAGAAGGATTTAAACTGTCCAATGCAGGGATGTTTCCAGTGTGTGAAGCTAGAAACAAAATAGGGAAATTCATGCAGATTACCAGGCATCAATAAAACCAGCAGAATGAGAAAGGAAAAACAGACAGTGGTCATGGGAAAGCAAAATAAAAGGAAGAAAGATCATCTGGCTTTTTCAGGCGAAAAGGTTCATTCTTCATGCAGCTGAACATCTGGCACATGACTAGCCAACAAAGAAATGGATGGGATGGATGCATCTCTAGAAGTTTTCAAACAGAAGTTACTTTGAAGTTGGCTTTGAGAACTTCATACTGTTGATTCATTTTCTGCAATCAGAGAATATTTTGAATTTTAAGTAGAATTCATCAACAGTGTCAAATGGTGTCCTTCCATTGAATGTCAGTTCTAGAAATCCCAGAAGGATCAATAGTTAATTCATCTAATCATTGATTTGTTTCGAGTTTCACTAGGCATAAGTGACTTAATCTGTCATTTTAAACAGTCTGACTCTAAGCCCCAGAAGAGACAATTTTTGTTACAGAATTGAAGAACCAATAAAGGCAAAAAAATGGAATGACATCTCGCAGATACTGGTTATTCATCTGCTCATCTGTTGCTGTAGTTGAGTCCTGCTGGAACTGAGAAACCCAAGACATCCTGCTAAGTCCCACTCATGTAGCTTTGTGGCTGTAACACTGCTTTCTTCCACTTGCCTCTACAATGGCTCCAGGCTATTACAGCGCAGCTTATAATTTGGCTGTTGCTGAAGATATATATTACAAAATGTAGGAGAGAAAAAAATGTGAGAAGTTATAGAATTAAGTGACTTAAGAAGGAAGAATTGTAAGAAAATAGGGAGCTAGAGGTATAAAAAGGTTTAGCAGCAGTGGTCTCTATGCCTATCTGACCATTCTCTTGTTGTTATTTGCATATTTGCATCATATGTCTGTATGAGGTACCTACATTTGGCTCTATGGAGAAGTATTTATGTATTGCATGCATGTTTTCTGCATGTGTGTGTGCCTCCTGGGAGTACTTGCAGAACCCCACCACTGATAGGATGTGGGGAACGGAACTGTGACAACTTCATTTCTATCAGGTGAAGCAGAATATAATTTTCCTATACCACTGTGCACATCATTTGGTTTAAAAAATGAGGTGAGAAGGATTCTTCTTACAGAATTACATAATCCCCTGCAGAGCAAAGAGACAACAATATTGCCTTCTACCAAGATACAAACGTACTCATAATGGTATTTCTTAAGATACAACAGGAATAAATGACTTACCTTTTCTGAAGTCTCCTAAGAGAGATTCTACTCCCTTAGCTGCTAACCCTTAAATTTGAAATTCAGACCCTTAAATGAGAGTGAGAAGAACCAACTGCTTCTAGTTGCCTGGGTTCACTTCTTGCACCTGTGTGCCCTGGGTTAGCCACATCTTCTCACCTGGTACTCAATCAATGGTTCAGGCTGCAAAAAAGCAATCCCAATACACCTCCTACTTTAAGAACAAAATAAATAAAATGAGCCTCCCTAAGCTTTCTCCTGTGTCAAGGAGCTGTCTAGATCAATCTATGCCTGTGGCAGAGGGGCAGTAGGCCTGTGGGCCCCTTAACCCCAAAAATGGAAAGGGGAAAAAGGAAACGGTAGAGAGATGGGAGCTGGGCTCAAAAAACAAAAACAAAAACACACAGGAAAACAGCAGCAACAATCTAAGGAGGAAAACCTATTTTACTAACTGTGATATCAGAATACAAGATAACACAATGTAATGCAATCTAATTGAAATTGAGGCTAATAAATCAAATAAAATAAGAGAGAGTTTTCTGAAACTGAGCAAACTTGAAGGCGTGCAGCTAGGAAGCACACCCACACACCCTCTGCCAGGAAGTGAGAGAGATGGAAGCTCCTGTCCATGAGCAAGATCCCGTGATGTATCTTCCTCTCTTTTGTGAACCAGGTATCTGGAAAGTTGCCAATCCACGGAACTGGAGCATTAACTCTATAATTACCTGTTGGTACCACATGGTGTCATGATGTGGAATACCAATAGCAAAATTACAAAACTGTGACATCCTCATACATCACGTGTTCTTTTAAAGACAAGGAATATGTAATAAATGTTCACGTAATTATCTAAGCAGCTCTGTGCAAACTGCCAACATGTGAACTTGCTTGTCTGGTACGTTTCAGAGTACAGCATATAATCTCTGTAGCAACAGGATGATTCCTAAAATCTCTTCTATGTTTCTTAAGTATGAGATCTAATGGAATAAAAATATAGTTTGGTATTTTGCTGTTTGTACTAGCCTGCTTATAGAGATAGAGGAAGAAGATACATTTGATGGCATTCACATGTTTACCTGGCTTAGTTTATTCAGTTGCTGTAATTATACCTCCAGAAGTCTTGAAAATAGAAGTTTTTATTGTAAGGATTCTTGAGTAATATAAGATTTTAATCTGAGGTTTGCCTTTTCCTTCTGACTTGCAAAAATATAGTGCTATCTTTTTAAAATTTTGTTTGTTTTCAGTGTTTTTTTCTTTTTTATTTCTTTTTTTTTTTTTTTTCTCCAGTAAGGCCAAATTATTCAAGTGAGCCCATTTGGAACAGCACCATAGAAATACTTTTTCCTATAGCAGTATTGAGATGTGGAGATAGGAACATGAAGAAATGGATGATTAAGCAGCATAGTACCCAAATGAAAACAATCATAAAATGTAATTGCCACCTGCTAAGAAAGGAAAGAATTTAAAGGCTGCTTCCCTTTTAAGTGATTTCCAGTTCTTTTGTTGTTTTTTTTTTTTTTCCTTGATCTTGATCTTGGAAAGAAGAGAAAATTATTATCTTGGCCTTCTGTCCATGTCTCACTCTGATCCAGGCATGCATATTTTCCCAAACAAGAATATCACGTTTTAATATTTATGTATTCTCTCATACTAATCAAAATCAGAACCGTTAATTATCATAATTACTGTTAATTACACTGTTAAAAGTTATGTAAAATTAAGGACTTTTAAAATATTCTCTTTTCATCATATTCTTCTGTCATTTTTTCTTTTAAATGCTGTTCTGCCAATTAAGAGCATAATAACAGAATGCAATTTTAAATCTTTGCTAAGGATTTTGAAAGAATTGCTGCCTAACAATTCCTTAATGCAGCAGGCAGGCAGAGATATTTTACAGTTCTGTCCAATGCAAACACTGTTTGTTTATTTATTTATTTATTTATTCATTCATTATAAAAGAGAATTTTCTCTATCCATTCTAATTTAGGCATTGCTTCCTTGTATTTAATTCTAACAAAAAAAAATTGAAGAGACACTATGGTTAAGAATTTTCATGCAAAGATTTTTGGGGAAAAAAAATTTGATTCTCATAGAAAGTGAATTTTACCTTTGAAGAGATATGTGGAATCTTATTTATTTAAGTGTGACGAGTCAAAACAACCACATTCAATTCCTTGTTATCTTCCAGCCTGTTTAACCTCTAGGGTTGCTCACTGTTTACATTAGCATTTTTAAAGATATAAGAAGATTTTTCAAAATCAGTACATCATTTTGCTGTGTAAATAACAACAGTGAAAATACTTATTAACTTTAAGAAGATATATTTCAGCTTATCTGATGTTTTAAACATTCTTCCTGATATAGTAGGCTATACTTTTGGCTGTTTGCATGTCAGATTTTGTGAAAATCCTCTCTGATCTCTGTAAGAGCTACTATTTTTTTCAGAACCTTTCATTTCAAAATCCTCTCCTGAATGCTATCATTTTACATAACTTTACCCAGCATCATTTCAAAATCCTCTCTTGAATGCTATCATTTTACATAACTTTACCCAGCATTGGGAAGCCTCCTTGGTGTTTGGAGGCTTGCCCATAATTTTACTTATTCCCAGTTTATGGGAGTTAAAATCCACCTTCTAAAGTGGTGCTGCTCTGCATTTGCATCTTGATGATAAAAGGCTCTGGGAAGACCAGATAGAGACCTTTTAGTATATATGAAAGGGAGGGGAGGAAGGGGGGGTGGGGGGGGGGGGGGGGGAAGGGCTGTAAAAAAGGAGGGGTCAAACTCTGTTACAGAGTCTGCTGTTAAAGTACAAGGGGAAATAGTTTCAAACTAAAAGGGGAGATTTATGTTGGACATACAAAGTTGTTTTTATAGTAAGGGTGGGGAGGCACTGAATCAGGTTGCCCAGGGTTGTGGTGAATATCCCATCATTGGAGACATTTAAGGTCAGGCTGGATGGTGCTCTGGGCAGTAAGGTCTCCCCTCAGCCTCCTTTTCCTCAGGAACTGCCCCAATTTCTTCAGTCTCTCCTCATAGGGCATATTCTCCAAGCCTTCACAAGACTTGTTGCCCTTCTTTGTTCCTGCTCCAGCACCTCAGTGTCCTTTCTGTACCGAGGTGCCCCAAACTGAACACAGTACTTGAGGTGAGGCCTCACCAGTGCCGAGTACAGGGGCAGGATGACTTCCCTAGTCTTGTTCACCACACCATTCCTGATACAACCCAGGATGCCATTGGCCTTCTTGGTGACTTGGGCACTCTACTGGCTCATATTCAGCCAACTGCCCATCAGTACACTGCTTGGCCCTGCTGAAACTCATGCAGTTTGCTTTGGCCCATTGATCCAGTCTATCCAGGTCACTCTGTAGTGCTCTTCTCCCCTCAGGCAGATCAACACTCCTTCCCAACTCAGTATTGTCTGCAAAGGAAATATACTCATTTCTAAACAAGCTCTTTGTCTACCTAAAGGATGTGAGAGACAGAGTATTTCTGGAGCTGTTCTATCATCTCTCTGTTATTGTAACTCATTGCACAAGTTTATGCATATCTGAGGTCTTCTAAATAATCTAATGAGATATTTACCACATGAGCTATTTTTGAAGGCCTGCAGGAAATCTACACTTACACTTACACAAGCTGCCAGCTTGTTTATTGGAGTGATAAATAAGCTTTTCTCTTCTGAGGACTCTTGTTTAACTCTGTACAATGTTTCAGTCTTTGTTTTGATCTGCAAATCCCTCTACAGTCAGAACTTTGTGCACTGCCACAGCATTGATCTGCAGAAACATTTTAACTACCTTTTCTCAACTTTCTCAGAGAAATGCCTTCAATCTAGAAAATGTTTGTTTGAGGAGCCATCAAATCCTTGATTTATTACAATTTCAGCTATGATTTGGTGCTGTAAAACTCTTGCAAGTATGACTGCAATGAGAACTGCTCAAATCTAAATAAACTATATATATATAATAAACAATCTCAGAAGAGAGATGTGAAGGGAAATGAAAGATCAGAGTCTTAACTGTCATTAGAAAAAGATTTATTGTACAGTTGAATCAAGAAACATTACTAAGTTCAATGCAGCTTTCGGAACAATAACATGCTGGCTTCACATCAACAACCTAAGATGTACTAATAAAAACCTTTTTTTTTTTTTTTCTTTCCCTCCTCAGTATAGCTGTGTTTAAATTAAGATTTATCTAATTAATATACTACTTCCAGACACCACACTCCCACATTTATGACATCAATAATTGCAACTAGCATTACTATATCACAAAAAGATTCTAACATGGCTAGAAGTCAGAATGATTTTAAAAATTATGTGTCTGTGTCTTTCAAACTATAGACGTTTTGCAAGGTTTTTTCACTGGAGAGAGTAGTTCCTATAGAACAAAATTTACCTTGATATCATTTTTTTTTTCCAGTTCTTTATTTAGATTGAAGATCCTGAGAGCACTGTGGAATTATAGGTTTGAATTAATCTAATTTGAAGGAGATGACAAACATACTATAGTTTTCACAATACATAATTTTACCCAGAATCAATCTGAGAACTTGATGGAAGTGACAAAGCAAGTAACTGGTAGAGATGAGAAGAGAGTCTGGTACTTGGCTGTACAGCACTCAAGACTAATCACAAACTATAGGCTTTGTGTAAAGCTGTGGAGAATTACAGAGAAAGTCTGATAAGAACATAGCACTATCAGAGGGCTTTCCCAAGACCAAATTTACTACAATGATTGCAGTCTAGTACTGCATATGAGAATATCTCAGTTCTGTTTGGTGCCATACCAAGGTCCATAGGAATTTTATCAATATTAACACAATTGTATTGTTAATAAATACTTCTAAAACTAATCTGACAATTGTATTGTTAATAAATACTTCTAAAACTAATCTGTTCTGCTAATATTGTTTATGAATTGAGATCTTGTCTATTTGGATGTTTCCTGATGCAAAAATTATATACAGATTTATGCACTTGAGGTTATATAAGCAACAAATTAATATTAAAAGCTAGACTAAAAATAGGAGTATAATTACAGCTTTGCAATTTAGTGATATCAGTCAAAATTGTACAACATGGAAGGACTTGAAAACATTAGAACTCT